CAATACAATGACTTGGGTAATTTTGTCGTAGGTATAGGAAAGGAGATGGCATAAGTTGACCTCTACCTTCTCTCCTCTATCCGACCGCCAGAAATCTATGGACCAGTTTCCTGTCAAGATCAGTTCAACATCCTTTAAGAAATCTCTGGATTATTTCTTATCCATGTGAGCGAGTTCGGAAGTCCCTACAGGAATGATACCTCGCCCGGATGCAAATAATCACCGATATGCGACCCGGTAGTGCAAGGTGTCGGGGAGAAGTTTTAGGGGACTAGGGCGATCTCTGTAGCTCCGGAGACTCTGGTGGAAGAGGATTGCACGGCGCTACGGGTGAGCCTCTGACGTGGATAAAGGTGGTTGATAGTCCAAAGCTAGCTACAAACATGACCAAACACTGCTAGCCTAAGGTCCGTAGTGGCCCGGAGGCCGGGGCGCTGCAATCTCTTCTCTGCTACTGTTTTGTCAATCTGATTGGCTTGTATACCTCAGGACTGCCGATACAGATCGGCAGCGCTATTGCATTTGCCATGTTCTGCTCTATTCCGAGGTAAGCGACTGTCAGATCCAAAGCAACTAACATTGAAAAATACATAATTTCAATAGCGCAGTAATCAGATTGCTGTCAAATAGGATGCTACCGTTAACAGCCAACCAGGACACTCCCAAAGCCGACGAAACACTGGACCGATTTCATAGTCAATTGTATTAACCTCGCCAGCGTTGATTCGACACTAACTAATAGCATTCAAAGTCTTGTCTAGTATCAATTTATGCCATGGGTAAAATTCTCCTTCTTTCTCTCTCCTACTCGCAGACAGTACTCATAAGCAAAACGATAAAATCAGCGTATCAGAGTAAGCAAACCTCGTTTCAAAGAAGGTACGACAACGCCTCATTCATCCAGCTGCCAAGACAAGGTCGTAATCAGATCCCGATCGGTTGTCCATCGAACACCACCTTTCTCAGATTTGAAGCTACTGGTTGGATTGCTTTGGAAGAGAATCAAAATCATCAAGTGGGTTCGGATTTACTGACTCCCCTACTGCATAGAGGATTATTGGACCTTAAGTTCACCGGGTACGCTACCCTAAGCAGCGAACAGCGTCTAGGGCAAGAGTCTGGGTCGAATCTCGAAGTTATATTCGAAGGCTCCATCGCTCAAAAGAGGGTATGTGCTCCAGAACTGCGGCCCCGGTCTGGCAGATCATGGAACTTTGGTCACCTGTGACGGGCTCGTGGTAATCTAGCCCCTCTCCTACACGATAAACCACCTCATTTGACATGAATCCAGTGTTAGAATACGCATATCTCACAGCACAATCTATATAATTTGTCAAGCTGGCTGTTAGGGCTGTCCAGTAGTGAATTATGGCCGAACCAGCCTGGCCAGCCCTCATGGCTAGCCCGTGTATCTCTGAAGCCCAAAATTGATCGTAGATCGCAAAAGATTGGTTGTTCTTTTCGAAGCTTGGCTTATTCTCAATTGATGGCCCCAGCTTGTCACAGAATCATGGGACTGGTAACCTTCATCAGAGTTTCTGCGCGTTCATAGAATTCCTTTCACTATAAAAGGGTAGGTACTTCTCGTTCTATCTTTCTTCCCTCAGCACGTCCTCTTTGCAACTCCCCTTTCCTTT